GTCACCAGTACCCAGGGCACAGGCTTTTGGGAACCACTGGCCCCCCCACCACATAATCAGCGGCTCAGACATGAGCTCGAGGTTAACTCCTGGCTCATTGGGCACCCTGCAGGACTGCACTGGGCAGCACCAAAGCTGAGGAAGGGGTGGGCTGCTGACAGGGAATCGGGGCATACTCAACTGGGCTTCAACTTTCCCAGACGGCAAGTAGCACTGAGATGTTGTGACTACGACTTCAGCCCCTGGATGAATGGCTGGATTTTACACTCCCTCCTCCCCCTCCAGATGTAGAGAGCCCCATTAGTCTGGATGTCATCCCCTGGGGTTACTCCTGTGAGCAAGACAAGTTAGGCCTTTACTCCTCTGAAACCAAACAACTCAAGGACTATTTCCTTGGGGTACTGGGGAATTCCTCCTAACATAGTTTCTTGTTAATTAAAAGCCTGACACGGATCCTGATGAGCACCAGAGGTGCCAGGACAATTTGCTGATGGAAACCAGAGAACCCTCGTATTTGGTGTTGGTTACTATTCCAAGCCAGGGGGTGCGACTGCCTGCCCCACACCACTCATGCCAGTGCCACACAATCCTGTGTAGACTAGAACAGAGTTTGAAAGCGGGTGCAATGGAAACACCTCCCATTTTCTGGGCACATAGACGGTGGCCCCATCACAGCCTGTGGGCGTAGACTAAGTTCCCTTTACACCTGTTGGTACAGGACCACGTTCTTACCATTGTACTTTTTCTTACCTATGAAAACTACCTCCCCATCCTTCCCTGCATTATGTCCGTGTATCGGACTGAATGGTATTAACACTCTGGCTTGAGGTTAAAACCTCCCCCAAAATCTCCCAACACTCTAATTGTGATTTACTCCCGGCCTGTTCTTCTGATCGAGGCAAACCCTGGGGTATTTGGTTTTGAAAAGGGCTGAACATTATAGAATTGCACAAATAAAGTGTCTTATTTTTGCTGCGCAATAGCATGAGAGCACTGTGCAGCGGGCTGCAAGCGCCTGATACATTCTGACAAACCAAACAACCCAAGGGTGTTCGTCCCCAGCAGAACTCTGTTCACATCTTATCCATTATGGGAATGCAATGTGAAAACTGCCCCCTCTTTTTTAAACAGCAATGCAATATTGTTTGCTACACAGGCTTGTTAAAAGAAGAAAGACTCCTGCTACACAGAGACATTGGCTTATAATTCTGTACTATCAACCCCTACATGCAAATGGGAAAGATTTCCTGTATGCCGCACACTGGAATTTCTCTCTCTCTTTTACTCATTTCCCTTTTTTGCTTTAGGATTTAAAACAAACAAGAAGCTAGATGAAACAAAAGATTTCTAAAAATGGCCTCAGCATTAAGACACCAAAAGTAAAAGCAAGTGTGTGGGGGTGAATCAGAGAAAAAAATAGAAGCTGTAAAATGAATTGAAATTTGGAAATGTTTCCATAATTGCATGATGTATTTTGGATAACCTGGTTTGAAATATTTTTAATTACTGTTATTTTATTTCTGATGAGTGTGTGGAATCCAATCCATCGCACCAGCTCAGCAAATGATAAATTTTATAAACACACACTCAAACTTTTTTAAATTCTACATCCTGTTTTCATGTTGCTGAGCTGCAAGTGTCTGCATTTTTGTGAAATGGTCACATAAGCAGAAAGAAATTAAGTACAGGAGCATGTAACGAGAGCTGACAAAATGCTTTATTAATTATATGTGTTGATTTTTTAAACAATCTTTTGTATTATTGTGTTGCTATAAAGGATTTATTAGACTAGCAAACACTGCAGAAGACCGCATTATTTGTACTGTAAAAGTGAACCCATTTTCTGGTGAGCTAACTTATGGGTATTAAACAGGATATTTAGTCTGATCATCAGCCACCATCGTGACTTTTTTAAATTAAAAAAATTCAAAACAGCTGCAAAGAGTTGGAAAGCTGTAGCTATCAATACCCCTTGCATTAGCCAATATACAAAAACTACATTTTGGAAAGTGACAGAGAAAATAGGATAATTTGTTCTCAAATGCATTAGTGCTCAGGCAAATGTCACAAACAGGCTTGTTACTGTAAACTAAACACTGAAGGCACAAAAATACAATAAAACCAAGCAGAAGATTTCTGTAGAAAAAGAAAATTTCATGTTGGGTGCAAACTGCATTATTCATACCTAAAAAAATTTAAAAAAAATCTGCGAACTGGCATACAGCAATTCCCGATTGTCAACAAAAATTCCTTTTATGCCCGCTGTTTCACAAAATGCTTCCAGAGTCAAGTAGCAATGTTCGCAATATGTCAAACATTATAGACTGTAGGTAGGAAGTTTTCTAGCAAATTAAAATTAAGTATCTGACATTTTACCCTCTTTACGCGATTAAACATTTCTCCAGTGTATGAGTTCCACAGACAGGCTTCAAAAGTTCTCTCAACATACAAATGCTGCTGGAAACAAAAGATCTGTGAAAGTAAAAAAAAAATCCACTTATGTGACTTTTCCACACAAATTCCAAGAGAAAGCAGACTTTAAACAAGTTAATTCTTCTACATATACTGAGACTGAAATAATTTAAGTATTCTCTAGACCTTGGAATAGGCATAAATGTTAGGATATGACACTATATACAAGGATCTGATGGAATCAAAACTATAAGAGCACAGTTTAAGTGCTAAAATGGAATTTTTGTATATTACATTGTTGCATATTTATTATTTTCTGTAATATAAGGTGAAAAAAATATTTTAAAAACATTTTCTGCTTATATTCCATATTCCAAAAAAGGCATATGAATCTTAATGGATAAGCGTAGCACTGCAATACAATTTATGCTGTTTCATCAGTGTTATAAATTTTAAAGCTCTGCATGTGTGTACATAAGTGTTCGCAGACACACAATATAAATGCCTAAGCCACAAAGATGGAGTTTCCCAGAAGTGTAATTAACAGGAATACTGAATGTTGATGAACTATATTTGTGACAAATGTAAACATGAGTAATAGATTTTTCACATCTTTGAGTTATCTGAAAACAAAGACAATAACTTAAAACAAAAAATTAGAACGCTGAATTTGAAAATGAAATCACAGGTCTTTGAACTCTAAAATAAATTAATAACATTTTATGTTCCGATATAAGTCTATGATAAACGAAAAGTAAACAGGATTTTTGTCTCCTTTTTCAGGTAAAATGTACATTACCAAAATAGCCATTTAAAACAAAAACAGTTTTCCCTGTCTTGGGTAACACATGCCTTTGGCTGTTTCTGTACCTCTCTGACAGCACTGATAGCAAATATGATGTGGAAGGCAATTATAATACACACCTTTTAAGAAAAAAATTCTACCTTTTGTATCAGGAAACCTTTGGAATATAGAAATGGAACTGAAAAATGCAGTTTATGAAGAACAAATTAGACCAGATTGTTTTCCCTAAACTGGGGGCATGCAATGTATATTGCAGTACAGTATTTATACTTTTTTCCTGAGATTCCCTGTAGGGACAGCTCATCTCTTCCCAAGACCCTTCTAAGTTTCAGAGCTGCCATACATTTGTTTAAAGGTCTTGGGTTTATATTTGTTCCCGCAGCGGCTGTAGCATCACTAGCAAGTTACACACACCGCAGAATGGAGAGAGATTTTGGCAAAACTTTGCCTATAACTTCATTCATAAGAGGGGAGGGGGGGTGATTTTAGAACTAGGCAGCCAGTCAACATGGATTCTGAATCTCAAAAGTGTCACATCCCCTTGCCCCAGAAAGAAACACCTGAAATCCGGGTTTAGGATTAAGTCCCCCCCACGGGGAATCAGCGGCTCTCCCCTACAGGTTTAGACACTTGCCAAGCGCCCCGCTCTGCGCCCCAGTGGGGTTGATTTGCCTTTGAGCAATTGCAGCCCCAGGCTCACCCCCGGGCGCCCTTGCTGCTACGAACAGACTGGCAGAGCCAGGCGAGGCGCTGGGCACGGCCCTTGCAAACTCGCCTCCAACTTTCCACCGGGATGAAAAAACAATAAAAAAGTCAGAGCAGCTGCAGCGACGGAGCCGATTTTGCCCAGACTGGAGCCGCGGGCATCTCCACCTGACTGGGCTGCAGGACAAGAGGGAGTCCTGCCGGCTAGGGCCAGGCACTCCCCTGCCTCCCCCGGGCTGCCTCCCTGCTGGGCTGTGCCCAGCCCAGCGCCCCTAACCCCACGCC